CGGCAGAGAAGGCGCTGGAGGGCACGGCCAAGGATCGCGGGGAGGCGGCTCCAACACGCACGAGCCGTCCCGGGCCGACGCGCTGAGGGAGGTGCGGGTGAAAGACGACAGAGAACAACGAGCACCCATCCCAACCTGAGCTAAAGCAGCAGCCCAATGGGTGATATCGATGTTCGCGCCAGGAAACAGGCGCAGCAAGGCAGAAAGGTCAGCGACAAAGGGCGCGACCTTGGGAAAGGAAGGCGTGGTGCCGGTAGGTGCAGACGGCCTCGAATCCCCCGCGGACAAGTCAACGCGAGAGGCTTCGGAACTGGCAGCGGCCCCTGAGGACAGGTCAACTCGAGGGGCCGGTGGCACGGTAGTGACCCCGGAGGACAAGTCGACTCGAGGGGGGTTCCCACTGGCAACAGAACCGATGGAAGCGACGGGCGGTGCGCCTGAGTCCCCGTCGGAAGGGGCTTCGGCAGCACGGTGAAAATTGCCAAAATGGCCACTCGGCCCTGAAGGGGAGCCAGGGGTAGAGCGAGAGTCGCGACAGCGGCACGAACTCCTCCCTGCGGGGCCGCAACAGCATCGCTGGAGGAGCGCGTGCCTACTCTCACGGCCTCGCTCAGCCCAGGCACGCCTGGCAGCAGCAGCGTCGTCGCTTACAGCGACTCGCCGCTGCGTGAACCCTCGGCCGGTGCACGCAGCTCGCGTGCGTCCACCCCTGTGGTGGGATGCGCCGCCGTGGAGGGCGGCTCCGCCGGCGGCCTGGGAGCCGGCGGAACGGGCGCGGCAAGGGCCTGCCGCCACCCGCACCAGGTCACGCGACACGGGGGGGGCTTGATCCCCGTGAGGAACCATGCGGTTCCGAGGTAGCCGCGGCCCCCCACCAGCTGGACGATGAACATGCACCGCTGCAGCGCCTCCCGCTGGCAGATGAAAGCCAGATCGAGAGCCCTCTGGGGCGCCTCGGCAGGCAGCCCCAGTGCGTCCCCTGCGACCCCCTCGGCGGAGCCGGCGACCGCAGCGGGGTCGGCCCGCCCAAGTGGCGGGGGGACGCGCGCGGGAGGGGCAGGCGGGAGCGCCTGCGGAGGGGCGTTCGACCGAGCCTTCCCCCACGCTGAGACGAGCGCCGAAGCTGGGGTCCCAGCGCGCAGCTGGACGCGATGAGGTGGCGCAGGTGCCCTGGCCAACGTGGCCGCGATCCCGAATGGCTGAAAACCCAGACGAACCGCCACGTCGGCGAAGGGCTGGAGCGCCTCTAGCCTCGCGGAGGGCGCCCCCAGAGCGACGCGAGGCACACGGCCGTGACGGCGGCTCCAGCCCTGGTGGGGGCAGGAAGCCTGGAAGACACGGCGAAGTGGCCATAGGACAGCTTTGCGGCGGCGTGCCCAAATCGCGAGCTGCGGCGGGGGCTGAGGGATCGGTGCGACCCGTGCTCTGTGGCGCCGAAGCAGCGGCGCCCGGCAGGCAGGTACCAGCTACCCCGAAACCATCTGCAGCAGCAGCAGAAACATGTCGCGTAGCGCCTGACAACAAGGGGGCCGACACTGGCAGGGACGCGGGGTCCGTCGACGCCGAGGTTGGATTCCCGAGTAGCCCGAGCGAGTGCAAGATGGCGTGGGCGCTCGCACGGGAGGCACTGACCGCAAGCGGCTCCCTCGGAGGCAGGGGTGAGGCCCCTAGGCAGGGGATCGCCGACTGCCCACTTCCGCTGTCAGGAAAAGGAAACCCAACCGCGGCGTCGGTCGCGCAACGGTTGTGCGGCGGCGGCACCCGAGCGCCCGCCTCCAGGCTAGCGAGGCAGGGAGATGGCCCCACCTGCCAGACCGCAGGGCCCGACAGCGCCTCAAACCCAGGTGGCGGGTGGAAGGGCAACACTGTCGAAGCGCCCCCTGGCGTAATCGCTGGCGCTAGTGCCGGCGGAAGCGCAGGCGTCGGTGCTGCCGCCGTCTGTGCTGGCGTCAGGGCTGGCGTCGGCGCTGGCCTCGGTGCTGGCGTAGGCGCTGGCGCTGGTGCCGGCGTAAGCGCAAGCGTCGGTGCTGACGCCGCCAGGTGCTGGCGTTGATGCTGACGTCGGTGCGGCGCTGGCGCTGGTGCTGGTGTAAGCGCACGCGTCGGTGCTGCCGCTGTCCGTGCTGGCGCTCGTGCAGGCATCGGTGCCGGCCTCGGCGCAGGAGGAGGCGCTGGCGCTGGTGCCGGCGTAAGCGCAGGCGTTGGTGCTGCCGCCGGCAGTGCTGGTGTTCGTGCATCAAAGCCAGGCGGTGGGCCCATCCGCCAAGCACGCGGCTGCAACGGCGACTCCAACCCAGGGGGGGGCCGGAAGCTGGCGCGAGTCGGCGAGGCGGCTCTGGGACTGCTCCGCGGTGGCCCTGTGCGCTCGGCACGCGTCTGTGACGGCGGCTCCAACCCTGAAGGGAGCTGGAGTCCCGAAAGCGAGGGCAAAGCTGCCTTGGGACCGTCTCGCGGCGGGGTGCTAAGCTGGTTAACTGCGGTGGCGGCTGGGGGAGCGGTACGAACCCCTCCCTGCGGGGCCGCAACAGCATCGCTGGAGGAGCGCATACCCACCCCCTCCAAACCGCCAGAATCCACAGCGTCCGCCGCTACAGTAGGCGGGGGAGGCACCGCGCGCGACAGCTCGTGGGTGATTGCCAAACGAACAGAGCTCCCGCCCCGCCTGGTTTCGACAACCGACGGCTCCGACCCTGGAGGGGGCCGAAAACCCGCGGGAGCGGGCGAGGCGGCCAGAAAACTTGCTCGCGGCGGGCGGCCAGACTGGTGAGCCAGGCCGACGGTTGAGTGGGCGGCACGACCCCTCCCCTGCGGGGCCGTAGCAGCATCGCTGGAAGGGCGCATGCCAACCCCCTCAAATCCGCTGGGTCCCGATCCGCCCGAAGGGCCCTGGGCGCGCGCGCGCCTGTCGTTGCCCACGCGAGGGAAACGATGCCGCGAACGGCAGCTGAGCCATGGCGAAGCGGCGACTGGAGGGGGAGGAGTAGAGGGGGAGTGGAGAAAGAGAGGGTCCACCGACTCCGACTCCTCCGTCCTGGACGCCGTTATCTTCGCGCCGGTGGCCTCTCCGCCTGTTGCCAGGCGGGCGGTGTTCCGAGAGGCGGCGGCGACACTCGTGGCGCGAGCAATAGACCGTTCGGCGGCGGGCGGGCTCGACCCTTGAGTGGCGCCGGCAACGGGCGTAGCGCGAGCACTCTTCTTCCGGGCCGATGGCGCGGCCTCCTCGTGATGCGAGGGAACTCCACCTCCTACTCCTCTCCTCAGATGGGCGTCCGCTCCGGGGTCCAAGGGGAAGAGGCAAGAGGAAGGAGGGGAGTTTTGTAGCGGCGAAAGGGAGGCAGGCGCCATCGGATGCCGAGCCTGCGGGACGGGGCTCAGAAGCCAGCGTCCCACGAGCAGCAGCTGCGGCAGGCGCGGGAGGAACCCGCGAGCAGGTCAGACGCCTGCCTGGACGGCCTGGCTGGGGCCACGCCCAGATGACACGGGCGCGCACTGCCAGGGGGGCAGCGGCGCCCGAGCGGAGTGTGTGCACACTCGCCGCTGCCGGGTGCCCACAGGAGGCAGCCGGCCCACCCCCACCCGAGCTCTGACTGGCGGGGTGAAAGAGCGACCCCGAACCAGCCAGATCACGGAGGAAGCGTTGGGACCCCTGCCTGCGGCAGTGGCCCAAAGCAGCTCGTAGCCCAGCAAGTAGAACACCGCCGCGTAGGTGAAGAGGAACCTGCGCGGCGGTGGCAACCGCAAGCCCCCTGGCGCCCTGGCCGCGCGCGCGCGCGGCGGGGGGAGCGGGGGGCGAGAAGAGCAAGCTCGGGGCCGAGAAGCTGCAGGACCTGAACGGGCGCGAGCGGCAAGGAGAATAGAGAAGCGCATAATCATCATCATCATCATCATCATCATCATCATCATCATCATCATCATCATCATCATCATCATCATCATCATCATAAGCATCAGCATCATCATCATCAAGAGACCTGGATGCACCGAAGCCTCAAACCGTGGCCCTCGAACCTCGATCCTCGTTCGGCTTCCAGCGCGTAGTCCCGGGGGCGTCCAAGAGGAGGGCGTCTAAGAGAAGGTTGACCACTCATGGCCCGAGGCACGTCCGCGGCTCACGGGAGGGGGGGGGGACCAGGGACACATTTGAATAAGAAGAAGGGGCCAAGAAATCCTGGGAGTTATCATGGCCCCAGCCTGGATATCCACTCAAGCCCCTGAGGAAACCAAAAGATACCCACCCCGCTACTCCACGGACCTGTCCTGAGGCGAATCCAGCAGGAGCGACGAGGAAAGGGTAGTACGCAGCGGTATCCGTATCTGTTCCTCTTCAGACCCCCCAGTCATCACTCCAGCCAGAGGGTACGTAGCAGTATCGGTACCTTTTCCTCCTCTGACCCCCTGGTCATCAACCCCCCTCTGCCGCCCCCGGTGGCCCCTGCAAACGGGGACCAGGCCCAGAGGGCCAAGAGAGTTCGAGAGAGGGCTGGATCCACAAGCAAAATCGAGCCTTGGCCCTCGAGTCTCGATCCTCCTTCGGCCTCCAACGCGCAAGCCCAACCGCAGGGCCAGCCAGCCGAGCGCCTGGGCCTCCCTCGTCCTCGGACCATGGCCCTCGAGCCATGGCCCTCGAGCCTCGACCCTCCATCGGCCTCTGAAAGGGCAACTAGCCTCGCGCTTCGCGCTGCGCGCTGCGCGAACAACTTCGCGCTCCTGCGCCGCCTCCAAGGGGCACAGATGAGGAGGAGGAGGAGGAGGAGGAGGAGGAGGAGGAGGAGGAGGACGAGGAGGAGCCGAACCGCGCAGCGCGAAGAACTTCGCGCCCTCTGGCGGGCGCCCTTGCTTCCTCCTCCTCCTCCTCCTCCTTCCCCTCCTCCTCCTCCTCCCCCTCCTCCTCCTCTCCTATTCCTCCTCCTCCTCCTCCTCCTCCTCCTTCTCCTCCTCCTCCTCCTCGTCCTCCTCCTCCTCCTCCCCCCGCGCAAGCGGCCGGCGGGCCGAGGGCTGGCGCCTCCCAGCCCAGCAGTCGGGGATGTCCCCCGGCGGGGTGACCACCCCCTTTGAGCGGCGGGTCGCCGCGCCCGCGCGCGCGCGCGCGCGAGCGCGGCACGACGACGACGCTGACGACGACGACGACGCAGCCCATGGTGTGAAGCTCCCAGCGGCCTTGCCAGGGGAAGGAACACTGACATGAACATAAAAACTCGGAGGTCCGCGCGGATTTCTCGGATCGGCACTGGGCCCCCCTCCCTGGCGCGCGAAGCGCGCCAGGGGCGGCGCCGGAGGCGCCGCCAGGGGGCTCCAGCGCCGGTGCTGCTGCTGCTGCTGCTGCTGCTGCTGCTGCTGCTGCTGTTGTCGAGCAGTCCAATTGTTGGGCTGAGAGTCGGCCCGCGGCAGGGCTCAGCAGACTAAGTCACCTGGGGTCCTCGGCCGACCGACGGACCGACCGACCTCTTCCTGAGCGCAAGCTCGGCTCAGTCCACCGCCCGTCGTGGGGCCTGCGAGCCCGCGCCAGGAGGCCCCTCGGCCGCCGCCCCTGGGGGCCCGCCTCGCTCCGCGCTTTCCCTCGAGCCCCTGGCCGCGGGAGGGTGGCGCCGCGCTGGTGCGCCTCGGTTGGCCGGCCGCGGCGACTGCGGCGCAGAGCCGCCGAACGCCGCGCCCAAGCTGGGCGAGCGCAGGCGCGCGCAGCACGGGCGCTGCTGCGCGCCTTCTGGCACCTCAGCCACGGAGGCTGCCGCTCCACGCGCTCGGGGGTGGCCTTGGCGGAGACACTCGGCGCGGTCGGCCGGCGGCGCCGCCGCAGCCCCGCCGTGGCCCACCTTCGATGCCGAGATCGAGCAGGCGCTGCGCGGCCTGCACGCGGGGGCGATGCCTGGTGGCGGAGTCCGCCGTGAGTGCGGCCATGACGCTGAGACACCTGGCGACGGCGTCGGTGCTGCCCCAGCTGACCTCGAGGTGTTCAGCGGCCTGTCGATGCGAACGGCGCTGCTGGCGCTCGTGGCCCTCCTGGACCCCGCGACCCTGAAGGGTGGCGTACGTGATTGCCACGACGCGGAGATCGTGGCGGGGCACGCGCCGTGCGCCGCGTCCAGACGCGCCGTGCGCCGCGTCCGGCGCCTAGCGCTGGGAGGCCAGCGAAACGCGTGCTCGGCTGCTCGGCGACGCCGAGGCCCCGCGGGGCGGTGCAGCGCTGGGCGCTTTCGGGCTCCCTCGACGGATGCCTGATGCCTGCCCTGCCGATTCGTGCAGCAGCTCATGGTGTGCAGCTCCCCGTGGCCTTGCGGCCGAGATGGAGCTCGGGCAAGCCCTTGCCGACATGTCCACAAAGGCGCCCCCTGCGTCGCCGACGCCGCCGCCGCCGACGGCCTCCTCCGACAGCAAGCAGGTATAACACCCCTGGTGCTGGTCGCAGTCGCGATGTGCGTGCGCGTGCTCAACATTGCCGCTAACTCGTTCGGCCAGGTGGGCTACGCCCAGACCTTGGGCAAACAAACATCCTTCAAGAGCCTGAGACCCTCCGCCGGCTAAACTGAAGAACAGTCGAAGGTAGGAGGAGGACGAGGAGGAAGAGGAGGAGAGGGAGAGGAAGGAGGGAGGATTGGGAGTCAGAGGAGGCGTGAGGAGGGAAAGGAGGAAGAGCGACATGGATCAGCAAAGGAGGACGAAGAGGAGCGACCGTGGCGACGGATAATCGTGGAAGGAGACTCACCACCTGCACCAACAAGGAGGACCGACGGCTGCCAAATTTCCAGGGGCACCCGCCTTCATCATCCCGAGCCTCTGGGAAAGCTCGGAAGAGCCAAAGCGAAACACACCCGTCCTACACACCTCATTACGACTACAAAGAAAATGTAATGCACATCTGGATTCACATGCGGGAGCTCGTGGAGACCTTCTTCTCGATGGATGCACATGAGGGGGTGGCCGGCTAAACCAGCCAGACGAGGTCCGAGCGCAAGAGAGGGAGACATGCGTCGTCGTGTCTCTCCCTCAGGCCAGCCTCCTGGTATCATACCCACCTCAACCTCCACGACCGACGACCCACGACCGACGATGGCGCGATCTTGCGGGAGAATGTATGAAGGACGCCGAAACCGAAGTCGGGACGACGGAGGGAGGCGGCCTCAGAGAGACAGTCCTCTTCCTCATCCTCCGAATCATCCCTTTCGTCCCCCATCCGCCGTCCACCCTCCCCACTCCCTATTCCGATTGATTTCCCACGACTTCCTCCAGATGCCCCAAGGATTTGTATGGAGTTCTTTTGGGGTCCTGTGGATGTCCTATAGAATCCGATTGGTTTCTTAAGGAATTATATGTATGGCTTTCTCTGGATTCCTAGAGATGTCCTACGGAATCCGAAGGATTTCTTAAGGATTCCTATACATGTCCTACGGGCTCCTCGGAGAAGTGCGAGGGGGGGGAACACGATGTTCCGTCCATCTCCATCGAGGTGCTTGCCGTGCCCTGGGTCTCTGCGGCATGCCTGCTCGCTGCTCGCGTTATTGAGCCTTTTCTTGCTGCTCTCGGCGGCGAGCGAGGGGGCGGGCAAGAGAGAAGGAGCAGGCCCTCTCAGAAGGCGGCGGGGCTTCTCGGAAGCCCTCGCGCCCTCTAAGAGGCTTCTGCTGTCTCCAGGGAAGGCTCAGAGAACTACTGGGAAGGCCGGGGCACTTGGGAGCCTTCTGAGAAGACCTTCTCCTCCTCACTTGTGAGCGTTTTCTTAATCGGCGTGTCGGCATTGGGCGGAAGGGGGGGGAGGAGGGGGGTCTGGCTCCTGTTTGCAGCAGTGCGTCCTTGGGGGAGAGTGCCCCACCTGCTAGAAAACAAGCGCAAAAAACAGCCAAGATCTACTCCATTAGGTGGGGGGGAGGGGGGATGCGAGGGCCTGCGCCGATCGGCAAAATAGTGAACAAGAAAACGACGACCTTCCCCCCCCCCAGGCTCGCCGCCGACATGAGACCCTCCGCCGGCCCACGTTGAAGATTACTCCGAGGGCACCCGCCCACAGGATGCACGAGGGCGCTCAACGGGCACGAAGAGCAGCAGGGCACCCTCCCCGAGCCGCCTCCGATCTTGTACCTCGGTCCGACCGTACCCGTCGGTCGGAAGAAGTAGGTGGAAACATGAAGTTTGAGCAGGGACCGACCGTCCCGGCATTCCTGAAGGCATACCACGACATGTCCTTAAAACCCACAAACTGTTCCAAGAACAGAAACGATAGGCAAGCCAGGACGCTTGGCGGATAAAGTAGACTGGGCCCAGGCCTTCCCAGAGAACAACACAGCGCAGCAAAAGCACATCTGTTCTTGAAGTAGGCCGACGCTTTTTGTGGTACCATGGGATCTGGGAATCCAGTAGTACCTACTTTCAACGACCGGCGTTTGTGGATTGGCCACGTTCACGCGAGGTGCGCCTGGCGTTGAGGAGACGAGACGGCCGCGGAAAGGGGGCCAGCGGCGGAGGGGAGAACTACCGAGCGGCCCGTGCAAGACGGCCAGCTCGGAGACCGCAAGATGAAAACCGTCCCGTTCGCGGCCGTTTTGTGGGGATGTCTCAAGCGGTTTGCCTGTTTTCTGTCCCAACATCCTTCGCTGTCGGAGCAGATTTGGAGGATGTCTCGAGCGAGGCGCTCATGTTCACGTCCCTAAGGGGAGCCGCCGAGGGGTATTGCACGGTCCCGTTCGCGGCCGTTTTGTGGGGATGTCTCAAGCGGTTTGCCTGTTGTCTGTCCCAGCATCCTTCGCTGTCGGAGCAGATTTGGAGGATGTCTCGAGCGAGGCGCTCATGTTCACGTCCCTAATGGGCCAGAGTTTGAGGATGTCTCGATCGGTTTGCCTGTTTTGGTGGCCAGGCTCGTGGGCGCAGATTCTTCTCAGGATGCCACAGGAAGCTCCAACAGGCTCCAGGAGGCCCCAGGAGACCACATGAGGTCCCAGGAGGCATCAGGAGGCCACAGAAAGACTCAAGAGGCCACAGGATGTCCCAAGAGGCTCCAGGAGGCCCCAGGAAGCTCCAGAAGGCCTCAGGAAGCCACAGGAAGCCCCAGGAGGCCACAGGAAGCGCCAGGAGGCCTCGGAAGGCAACAGGAGACCCCGAGAGGCCCCAGAAGCAGGAGGCCTCAGAAGGCAACAGGATTGGCTCCAATCCCATGTGTTTTACGTATGCTCCTATCGATTGAGCCTCACCTGGAGCACGATTCCTTGATGTTATACGTGTGTTGCTATAGACTATAGATTGTCCTTCTCCTGTGCACACAGTCCTACATGTTTTACTTATGTTCCTATGGGTTGGGCCTCTCCTGGGGCACGAGTCCTTGGTGTTTTGCGTGTGTTCCTATAGATTGCCCTTCTCCTGTGGCTCTAATCCGCAATGTTTTATGTACGTCTGTTGCTCTAGATTAGGCCTCTCCTGGGGCACGAAACCTCCCTAGGTCCCAGGAGGCCCCAAGAGGGTCCTGGAGACCCCGGGAAGCCCCAGTAGGTTTCAGGAGGCCCCAGGAGGCCCCAAGCTCATGCGCAGAGACGCACTCATACTACTGAGGCTCATTCATACTCCAATTCATTCGCAGTTAGATTCATGTCCAGACCGTCACAACTGAAGCCCGTTTATATTTGAAAGCTCTTGCGCCTAGACATTCACGGCGGACAGGTCCATGCGAATAGATGCACATATGGGGAGCTCCACGCAGTGAATAATTCTGCATTGATCACGCGGCGGTGGGTAGCGTGGGTTGAACAGACCGCGGGCGCAGGAGACACGCACGCAACCACGCGCACGCGGGCACCTCTCCTCGTCGTTACCTCCCCTCGTCGCCTGATGGTACGACGCGGCCGTCATGAAGAGGGAGCCATGAAACACAAGGGACTTGGTGCTCAGCAGCGCTACGCCTGCCCCGTGCCGCTCGGAGGAGGCGAAGGAGGAGGGAAGAGGAGGAGGCGCAGGAGGCGGAGGAGAAGACAGAGGAGGAGGAGACAGAGGAGGAGGAGGAGGAGGAGGAGGAGGAGGAGGAGGAGGAGGAGGAGGAGGAGGAGGAGGAGCAGGAGGAGGAGGAGGAGGAGGGAGGAGGAGTCGAAGGAGGAGGGAGGAAAAGGATTCTACAACTTCTTTGGGGGGGATGTCAGGCTCTGGGGACCTCCGGAGCCCTCGCGAGGACCTCCGGAGACCTCCCCGCGCGAGGGGCAGGCGTGCAGGGCACAGGAGCCAATAGAGGGGAAGTGCCACTCCGTCGGCTCGCACCGAGGCAGAGGAGAGGCCCGAGTGCCCAGGAGTCCTCCTCCTCCTTCCTCCCTCCTCCTCCTTCCTCCTTCCTCCTCCTCCTCCTATTCCGCCTCCCCCTCCTCCTCCGCCTCCCCCTCCTCCTCCTCCTCCTCCTCCTCCTCCTCCTCCTCATCCTCCTCCTCCTCCGCCTCCTCTCATCCTCCTGTCCCGACCTGTTACCGTGACCAGGTGGAACAGGTCCTTCGCCACGCGACGCATCCGAGCCAGCTGGCCACGAGGGGAGCTGGTGGCAGAGAAGCAGGAGCCGAGAGCGTCGGGAAATTAGGCCTCCACATCCTGCGCCTTGCGCGGCCCACAGAATCACCCGAGGAGCCCGAGCTTCCAAAGGGGTTGCTCTCGCACTCTCCGCAAAGGTCCCAGCTTTCCGGCTTGTGGCTCCCGCACGCTCCGCAAAGGTGCCACCGCAGCGTCATGAGAAGCTTGCTGCCGAGAGCGGCCCAAACAGGCACAGGGCGGCTGGGGTGGCAGCCAGCAGGCGGGAGAGAACCACGGGCGGCCTGAGAACCATCACCACCGTTTAGGCATAGGGATTCCCCGGCTTGTTGTAGACCCACATGCTTTCTTGCGCGCGCAGCTCCATCAATGATCTTGGGAGAAAAGAGATCGCTATGAGTGGAAGAGACTCAGGTGACATGACAGGTGCTCGCTGGTGCTCTATTGAATCCGCTCCTCGCGGTAAAACGATGTCTTCGATGTCTTCTTGGGACTTGCTTGGAGGACTTCCCTCCCACCGAAACCCCCAATCAACCCTGCCACCGTCCACGGGCAACTCGAACATCAACCTCTTCCGCGTGCTCTGGCCAACTCCTTCTTCCCCCCGCTCGGCCTTCGTTCTCTTTCTTCGGCTCTGTCCAGACCTCCGACGCCTCGATTGTTCAAGCCATCTGCGCCGGGAACTGTCGACCCCTTACTGGAGGCTGGCTTTCCGTCCCAGACTGTGCTTTGAGTGGTCCATGTCCAAAGGCCCACGACCTAACAGGTTGAAATCGACGAAAAAACAACAATTCCCAAAGACACGGCCGGATGTTTGGGTCACCCCCTTCCTGAATTGAAATGAACAACAACAAAAAACGTACTCATAAACTCTCAGAGGTCCGCGCGGATTTCTCGGATCTGCGCTGGACCCTCCTCCAAAGCGCGCGGAGCGCGCCAGGGGCGGCGCCTAAGGCACCGCCAGGGGGGCGCCAGCGCCGATCAAAGAAATCCACGCAGACCTCCGAACATGTGTGCTTCTGCCGTCTTGTCCTCATCGAGCCCCCCCCTGCTACACGTAGGTCGGGCATGTCCTCCTACAGGCGAATTTTGGAAGAGAAAAATGAAATAGTCAACACCTCCTCAAAAATAGTCGAAAGAGCATGACACATCGTGACATGATTATTTCTAAACTAGTCCTGAATATTCCTCCTGTAGAGATGCCCGCGTTAATGCTGCCCCTGCCCTGCCATGGACGGGCATGTACACCCAGGAGAACGACGAGTACACGATGCCCACGCACAGCCCGACGGCGGCCGGCGGCAGGGCCTCGTGCAGCTTCTTGTTCTCGAAGTGCTTGATGATGGGAAGATCCTTGCTGGTGCTGGTCGAGGCGAGCAAAGACGACATGTACTGACTACCTACCAGACCACCCCAACCCAACCAGAGGACCCGAATTTCGGGTTGGGGGGGGGTGCGGGCTTCATATGCGTTCAGTTTCAATGTTCCCCGCCACCCCCCACTGGAAATAGTGGCAAATCGGGATCTTCGATTTGGGTTGAGGTGGTTTGGTGGGCGGTAAAACATAGACATATACGAGATCGGCGCCCATGCCAAGTACAGGATCTGGACTCCCTTCAGACAACGCTCAAACGCGACGTGGTGCATACTGTTCGGCTCTGAGGGCCGAAATGCCATGCACCGTAACACTCCTAGGTCGTCGAGCATCGACGACGCGTCAGGAGACACCAAAGCGGCATGGTGAACACAAGTCCTCCCCCTACCCTCTCCCCCGACCGCGGGCGCGTCCTTCATTTTCTCCAGCTGCGCCGACCATGTTTCCACGGCAGTCTCGGCCAGCCGACGCAGGGTCGCCTCCCAGCCAGCGGCCCGCCCTCTGGCCCCACCACTGCCCGCCCGGGACTCCGATGCCTGGTTCTCTTCTGAGCTCCACCGATCCTAAGCATCGTTTACCCGACCATACAGTCGGCCCGTATCATAAGGATGCCCGATAGGGATGTAAGGGCCTTGGACGCCCATTTCGAAGCTGTTCGAGCGGGGCGCGGCCAACGAAAGTGGCCAAGGATGGACCGAGGAGGCAAGGATGCAAGGGTATACTCTTGGGAAGGGTGCCCGTCCATGTGGTCTGGGCCCCACTGACCGATTTACCCCCCCTCAGATGCCGATTTAGGCCGGTCCCGTCGGGCTTCGAGGGGTATACCCCCAGCTGGGGTGCTGAGAAAGTCCGACTATCTCAGCACCCGACTAAGTCGGGTCTGGATGGGGATGGAGATGGGGAGAAGGGTCGGTTGAACGATCCAGAGGTCAGGTACGCGGTAGCTTGGGCGAACAACTGAAGGGGCCACTATCAGCCAGATTTACCCACATTCAGCGCAAGATTGAGCGGGATGATGCGAAATTCAGTGGGACCGTGCCGAGATGTGGCCAGTCCCTGAGGCTGGAAAACCGCCGAGGACCTTTGAGAAAGCCCGGAAACCTCCAACCTGGAAACCCCAATCTCGCCCTCCACTCGTCGTCGTCGTCTTCGTCTTCGTCGTCGTCGTCGTCGTCGTCGTCGCTGTCGCTGTCGCGACCGTTGTCGTGTTCGTTTTCTGACAGGCGTCCCTCTGATTCAGAACAAAACCATTGGCAATGAGCTACATGCACCTCTAACGCGCACGGTGTCCGTCTTTATCCTGCCGCTCCATGATGCGATTGGTCCACGATGCGTTCTGGTAATTCTGCAGTTCTAGCGTCCCTTGTTCTCTCGTTCTCGCCCATTTGTCTCTGGGCGCACGGGAGGGCAGGAAAGCCTGGACATCTGGAAACCTGGAAGCAAAAAGGATTCCCAAATCTTGGGAGCGCAAGATCAATATCAGTGACCCGCCGCCGCCGGGAACCCGTCAGCGCGTTGAGATGAAAAATGATAGTAAGGATGCGCGGTAAAGATGCGAGCCCCTCGAACGCCCGCGTTGGGGCTTTTTGGGCAGACGGGCTATCGGAAGTAGTCAAGGATGGACCCAAGAGGCAAGGATGCAAGGAAATCCTTGGGAAGGCTGCCCATCCTTACTATCGGCGTCGACTGAAGTGCTGAAGAAGCACCAGGCTCCCAGACAACATCGAAGGAGCACCACGCTGACGGATTCCCTACGGCGGCGTGCCCCCGAGATATTCGCCCGACCCGACCCTGGCGAACCATGGGGGCGACCAGGGGGTCTGAGCTGGTTTGCACCCCAGAAAATTCGGACGCGGCCTAACCGACCCCTCGCAAACAATCCCCTTCTGTGACATCACCCTCGCTTTTCAGACTTCCCTCCGCACGCCATACATACGTCTTGAGGCGAGGCGAGAGCGACATCACGGAAGGGGATGGTTTGCCAGGGGTCGATTAGGCCGCCCCTGAAAATCGGCCAGAGGGGCCGTTCAAAATCGGTCCTCGGTCCCCTCCCGAGGTCCATCTGGTGTTGAGCAGGGACCGACCGTCCTGGCATTCCTATAGGCCTACCACGACATGTTCTAGAACCCAAACATGTTTCATATTGAAAACAATGTTTTTCGAACGTAAGCCCGATGTACTAAAACATGACAGTATGAGCCAAACATGTTCTAAAAACATGCTGTGCAAACCTCAGAAGGTTCTTAGAACATTCCTTGGTAGGCCTGTAGGCGAGCTCGGACGCTTCGCCACTGCTTGATGGTGCAATTTCTCCTCACCCCAGATCCGTTTCTGCTCCCTGTCCGGGGTTCGACTAGCAGGCCCGACGGCCAGCCCCCAGGGGCCGAGACGCACCAGGATAACCTTCCCGAGAAAAGCCATCGCCTCGAACAGTGCTGGGCAACCCAAGACCTAACCAGCCTCGCACTTATCCGTATCCCTAAGATGGGTGAGCAAAAAGCGAGGACAATCTTAGGGATGTGCCCTCAGAAACCGAGGGAATCCTTAAGATCGGCATCGAGGTGAGGTGGTGCCAAACACAGGGATAAGGATATGTTTCAAACTGGTAAAGACCCCCAGACGGCTCCGGCTCCCCTCGGAGCCAAGATCCCCTCGCTTCGTGAAAAACTCACGACGGCAAAATTTTCACCATTTTCGGCTTCGGGGGACCCTTACTGGGCCTCGCGGGACCGTCAGAAAACGACTCAGGATGAAAAATCTGGCCCAGGGAAGGGGTCAAGACCTCATGGGGTCGACGTTGTGACAGAATCAAGGTGTCGGGTATCTGGGAGCCTGGGTCGACTGCTCCGACCTGGCGAAATCGCCGCCGCTGGCCAGAACCAGTGCTCGGCCACCTCAGACCCTCAGTCGGCTCCAACCAGGGCTCAAGCTAAACAGTGTTTTCGTTTTCGTTGTGTTTGCGCTTTCCTTCTTTATCCGCCGACCCCAAAAGCGTGTGCAACTCAACTGTTCACCTGGTGGCCCTGGCCCAGCATCTTCCACGCCCAAACTCTCATTCGACAGTTCTTTGCCCGGAAGCCACCCTGACCCCCACCCTGCCTCCACCACGCTTGACATCCTCACCACGCCGGGCCACTCCTCGGGACCTCCGTTCATGGCCCCCCCCCCCTCGACATGTCCTTGCCCGGAAGCCACCCTGACCCCCACCCTGCCCCCACCACACTTGACATCCCCACCCCGCCAGAACACTCTTCGGGACCTCGACTCATGGGGCCCCCCATCGACATGTCCTTGCCCGGAACCCACCCTGACCCCCACCTTGCCTTTACCACGATTGACATCCCCACCCCTCCAGACCACCCCATCGGGACCTCCGTTCATGGGGACCCCCATCGACATGTCCTTGCCCGGAACCCACCCTGACCCCCACCTTGCCTCCAGCACGATTGACATCCCCACCCCGCCAGAACACTCCTCGGGGCCTCCGTTCATGGGGGATCCCCCGTCGACATGTCCTTGCCCAGAACCCATCCTGACCCCCACCCTGCGTCCACCACGCTGGACATCCCCGCCGCGCCAGACCACTCCTCGGGACCTCCGTTCATGGGCCCCCCCCCCTCAACATGTCCTTGCCCGGAACCACCCTGACCCCCACCATGCCTCCACCACCATTGACATCCCCACCCCGCCAAACCACTCCTCGGGACCTCCGTTCATGGGGACCCCCCCTCGACATGTCCTTGCCCGAAACCCAGCCTTACCTCCTATGATTCAACACCCCCACATCCCCACCTAGCTGGCCGATAGAAACCCCGCCGTCCTCCCTGGAAAAAACACGCAAATTCAACTTTCTCTCTCTCTCTCTCTCTCTCGATCTCGACAGCACGTCGTCGAATTGCGAAAAGTATACCACGAATGGGACGGACAGAACATCGCTTGGGTAACCTCATGCCCGTGAGAATAAACACTAGGGGATAATAAAGTTCGGGGTTCAGGGAGAGATAATAAAAGTAACCCAGCAGACCTCAGCATAATCTCGAAGTAAGAGATGATCAAGAGGAGACCAAGCCGAGCACGTTTTGAGACATCCTTGGCGTTTAGTTTTCATAGAAATATCATTAACAATGGCTTATATATCATGAAAATTGTTTTTTGTAAGTGCTCGTGTAGGGTAGCTCATGTGCCTCAATTTCCATGGATAATCAACCCCAGAGATAAAAAAAAAGTTCAGGCGAGCGTGGGGACAGAGAGAAATATAAAAGAAGAAGAATACAGTATTATAATAAGAAAGAAGAAGAGGATAATAAGAAGAGGACGAAGAAAGGAAACATCCAAAGTTCCAAATCTATCAATTTTAATTTACAAGCGCTTTATGAAAATTGATTGTTTTAAGTGCTCGTGTAGGGCAGCTCATGTGCTTCATTTTCCATGGATAATCAACCCCAGGGATAAAAAAGTTCAGGCGAGCGTGAGGACATATAGAAATATAAAAGAAGAAGAGGGAAGTATAATAATAATAAGAACATTGTTCGTTTCGTTTGAGTCTGCCTCCCGAAATTATTGGTTTCGCTTGACACATCCTGAAAAAGTGTGATCGCTTCGCTTGATGTTGCTATATCAACATCGCTTGATGTTGCTATCTCAACATAGCGTTTCGAGGTGATAATGAAGTTCGGCCTAAGCGCTCGCCGCCCAATTTGAATGTTGTATAGGGCGACGACAATCAACTCTAAACACTGAAGGGGGGTCCCTTTATTATAATCGGCATGCGGTGAACCCTAAACGGGTGGTCGCGCCCTACCCATCCAAGACAGTGCAAAGGTAGCGCTTTTCTCGTCAACATGGACTTTCTTGTCGTCGACGCAGCGATCGGAACCCACCCTAATGCCCACCCTTCCTCCGCCACGTGAAACATCCCCACCCCGCCAGACCACTCCTCGGGACCTCTGTTCATGGCCCCCCCCCCCTCGACGTGTCCTTGCCCTGAACCCATCCTGGCCCCCGCCCTGCCTCCACCACGTTTGACATCCCCACACCGCCAAACCAATCCTCGGGACCTCTGTTCTCGGGGCCCCCCACTCGTCAATCCTTTGCCTGGAAACCACCCTGGCCCCCGCCCTGCCTCCACCACGTTTGACACCCCCACCCCGCCAGAACACTCCTCGGGACCTCCGTTCATGGGCCCCCCCCCCTCGAGACTCGCTTGCCCCGAACCCACCCTGACCCCACCTTGCCTCCACCGAAATTAACATCCCCACCCCACCAGACCACTCCCCGGGACCTCCGTTCTCGGGGCCCCAGACAATTCCTTGCCCGGAACCCACCCTGGCCCGCAACCTGCCTTCACCACCACGTTTGACATCACCATCGCGCCCACCCTGCCTCCACCACGTTTGAAATCCCCACCCCGCCAGACCACTCCTCGGGACGTCTGTTCATGGGCCCCCCCCTCGACATGTCCTTGCCCAGAACCCATCCT